TGAATTATTTCAACTTGGTTCTTGCTAAAAGATATTCCTTTAGTAATAAAATATGTCACAGTCAAAGTCAAACGATATGCGCAAGTCGTTGACATTAAATGACAAACTCGTTGAATATATTCCCTGAAGAACACAAGTAGAAAAAATGTCAAAATAAATATGTTAAATATATTCTTTAAAAAATATGAAACAAAACTAAACAGTTGGGAATGTATGTATCGCTTTGAAGTGCATTGATATTACTTTGTTGCACAGTAAACTTACAATTATCACTACCAATCTAACAAATGTTTTAGTTATACAATTATCAATAGAATGCTATTAAACACAGTCAATATTAGATATAAAATATACAAAATACATACTCAATTCTCCATGCAAAAAAGTTTAGTGAAACGTTCATTGTTAAAGTTACACATGTGTATTGTCTTCACTCCTCACACTAACTGATCTTGATTCTCTTAGAGCAAGCTGACCAACATACTAAAACTAAATCTACCCCAACAGTAGGTAATATATTAAAAATGTATATTTTAATAAAACTTATAAAATAATTGTGTTTAGCACAAAATTTTACTTTCTTCAGTAACAAGCAAATAATATAAAGGAATAAAATTTATTAAGTGTCCCATTGTAGCTTTTTAGTGTTAAGTTTGCAGGAATGGTTTTTGAATGATAAAAAAGTGAAAAAGCTCATTATTAATTTTAGCTAAATAAACTAAAATAAGCTAAATAAATTAAATTGGTTGTTCCAAAATAAAATTTGATTTTAAACACTTAGAGAAAAAGCACAGGATAATTTGTTGATGGTTTTTATTTTTGCAAAAAGTTATTAACATTTCATAAATTTGTTGTAGATACCATACTAATTTACAATCAATATTCTGAACACTTTGATTAATTCTGAGAGGTTAAAATCAATAATAGTCAACGTTATCATATGAACTCAGGGGTAGGTAGCCTTAGAGCACTTGTTTCATCTGAACCTTACGCATCTGTAATTTTGCCAGATTAGAACAAAAAACAGTCCAGGCAATAAGAAAAGTTCTCTAGCAGCCAAAAAATCGGAGTTAAATCTTGGCAGCAGGTAAGCATAATATTGTGTTATACATTAGTAAAAAAACACTCTTGCAATCTTACTTAGACAATGTGATTCTAACAAGACACTATTTTTAAATTGAATAATGATTATAATTACTGAATTTTAGGTTATGAGGACTTTTAAAGATATAAAGGGTAAGATCATGAATAAACTATAATTATAATGGAAAACACAAATAAATCTAAAAAAGTATACATCATCGTAAAAACACAACATTTTTTCTACATTTTTTGCAAAGAAGAAACATAGATGAGGATTAATGAATTTACTCTAATTTTCTAATTTACTTTAATTTTCTCTCTTCTAGTGATACAATTCACTAGCACGCTGGTCTAGTGGTAAAGTGCGGACTTAGGTCCCTTAGGTCCCAGGTTCAAATCCTGCTTATCACCAATGGATTGTAGATTTTATCAAAGTGGTAATGCTGCAACCCTCTAGGACTAGCCTGAAGTTATGCGGACAACGGTTCCAAACCAGAGCCTACGTCCTAGGATGTGAAGGAAGTACAATAAAAGAGAAAAAAGGTATAAGGATTGACTTTCTTTTTATTCTTTCTTCTATAATCATACATAGCCTGGTATATGGAAAAAAGTATCTTTTGGGTATCTTTTGGGAAACCAAAAAAAGTGGTTTTTGAAGTGATGTCTGTATGTGTGGGTGTGTACAAATCCACACACTAAACCTGTAGTCTGATTTTGATGAAATTTGATACGTCATCCCATGCTAATCAACATGATTTCAATATATTTTAAAATTTGGTGAAATTTTGATTTTTTAATGGTAAATTCTCAATAAAAACTGACAAAATAATGGAAAAATAAGATGTTTACACAAACAATTAAAATTGAAATCTAGTATATAGTCCTCTTAACCCTGAACATAATGGCACAACCCACAACACTGTAGAAATCACAGTCCAAGTTACTGCAATTTTTGTGGTCCATCCCATGATACCCACATTTCATTAAAATGTACAGCTACATACACATGTGGATGTTCAATTTCAATTTGAAGCAGCTGATGCAAAAAGTATGTGTCAGTTTGCTGCTATTGTTTATTTAATAAACAGAGACATATTCCAACTCTTAAATCCTTCAATATAAAACTATAAATTAAGATTTAATTATACACCTAAAAAAACACACAATTCAAACAATGCTAACATAGTAAAAAAAAATACATTATATATAAGCTTAATTAAAAGTTACAAAAATTTAAATAAATTTTGTGTACAAAACCATATTTCCTTTAAATAAATTAATGTTTCATATCATTATGGAACACTAGCAGTGAAACACTTGAATCCAAGTGACCGGTGAAAGCCATCGACAAAAAGAATCAATAAAAGGAATATTTTGAGAGTAAATTGTCTGTGGAAATGACACCAAGTCGTAATCCACTTAAAGGTGCAAATTCTGTGTCAATTAGGTGAAAAGCGAGATATAACGTCGATATCCCACCATTTGATTGACCCGTCCCTTGTAAATAATAAATGATTCTGACAACACCAGCTATTGTTTGGGAATTTGCAAAGTAAAAAAAGCTAACAATGTATTATGTAAATGCTTAGTGAAAATATTGATAAAGAAAGAATACGTGCAAAAAACAGCCTTAAAAAGTAAATCAAATGCTTACCATTAAAATTAGTAATGGAAAAACAAACAAAAATATTATTTATGGATTTGTTTTTTAATAAAATTTATGTAAGTGTCTGATGTGAATTAAAACACTGTTGATTGTGTAGTTAGTTAGTTTTTAACCAGATTATCAAAAAGCAAAAGAAAGTCATATACAGCAATTTCTAAAACATTTGATCTTCAGTTAGATGTCGTTCATTTTACATTTTTTCATAACAAAAGAGAGAACTATTTTTGAGTGATACATTTTTTTTACCATAGGTTAGCTTCTTTAACCCCTTTAGTCCCATAACAAAAACAGCTGGAGCTGAGAGCTATGTGCACAGCTATGTAGCATATGTGCTGCTGTCTGAGATACAAGCTTAAAACTAAGAAGGGCTTTGAGTTAGTACGCATCATTGTTAGTACAGTAGACTGTTATGTCTTTTCAAAGGCTAAGTGGTCTACAGCATTGCCTTCTTGGCCAGAAGAGATCACCATCAGAGTTTGTATTTATATAAAACATGTAAAAGTATCAATGTTGAAAGATGTGCTGTTATTTCTTTTTTTTATATTCCTTGCAACAAACTGGCCCAAATTTGAATTACTAATTCAATTTAATTGTTCAGAACAATCAATACAAAAGCACAGCTGGGAAGCCGAGTGGTTTCAAAGCTCGGTTAATAATCAGGTCGATGACTCGATCTTGAGAAGTCAGTAGCTTTTTGATGCATCAAAACTGGTCACAGCTGTCCTGATAATTAGGCTTTTAATTGGTCCCAGCCAGTGAAACAGCTAATAATCTTAGTCGGTAACAAAGCTACACAAAGTCATTCTTCATTTATATTTGGGTTTACGCCACGATAGCGTACCCATCTTAGTTGACCATTGTGGTGATGACGATAATGACCATAGACCTTGTTCGAATCCTGCCTTGATCTGTTTTAGTGTGGAATTCATGAGGGGTTTACTGGTCCGTACAAAAGCTTGATGGGAGAGAATGATGACGGCTGTACTCTTTGTAATTTAAATTTGTATCTCAAATCAGGAAATTCGAGGCATTTCCCTTCCTACTGTGTGTCTATCCCAAAGTATTTCATAAAAATCAAAGATATATGACTATAGACATAACTAAATCAAAAGTTGTTTCACAGCTGATAATAAACAGAAAATCAGGAGTAACCTTTTTGTGAGAAGATTTAAATTGGCCATGGTAAGAGTTCTATATTTGTCCCACAAAAACATTTGTTTGTATGTGTTTTAAATGCTTCAAATAATGATTTAGCTTTCTAGATAACAATTTCGGTAACATAAGATGTAAAAAAATATTAATATTAATATTACTCAATTTTGAGGTTAAAAAAAAGTAAAAACGTGTTCATCAATTTATAAATGTTAAACAAGGTTTTTATACAGACATGGTATGACCAATGAGCCTTGAGAGCGTATTACTAATTCACACAGCGTGTAATGTGGCATGTTAACTACACAGAGCGTAACGGAGGACTCTCAACTGTTGTCTAAACATCAACCGAGTACCACAAGATTCTGAACTGTTGTCTAAACATCAACCAAGTACAACAAGATTCTCAACTGTAGTCTAAACATCAACCAAGTACAACAAGATTCTCAACTGTTGTCTAAACATCAACCAAGTACCACAAGATTCTAAACTGTTGTCTAAACATCAACCAAGTACCACAAGATTCTTAACTGTTGTCTAAACATCAACCAAGTACCACAAGATTCTGAACTGTTGTCTAAACATCAACCAAGTACAACAAGATTCTCAACTGTTGTCTAAACATCAACCAAGTACCACAACATTCTGAACTGTTGTCTAAACATCAACCAAGTACCACAAGATTCTAAACTGTGGTCTAAACATCAACCAAGTACCACAAGATTCTTAACTGTGGTCTAAACATCAACCAAGTACCATACGATTCTGAACTGTTGTCTAAACATCAAACAAGTACCACAAGATTCCTAACTGTTGTCTAAACATCAAACAAGTACCACAAGATCTGAACTGTTGTCTAAACATCAACCAAGTACCATAAGATTCTGAACTGTTGTCTATACATCAAACAAGTACCAAAAGATCTGAACTGTTGTCTAAACATCAACCAAGTACCACAAGATATTGTCTAGGACTTTGTAAATATTTATTATTCCACTTGATTTTTATATCTTGGCATTTAAGAATCGTAAAACACAAACTGCAGTTATGACTCAAGTTTGAAATCAACTATTACAGTGAACTTTTTTATTATACTTACATGACCATCACATGGGCTTCGCTAATCTTATCTCAGGCAACCTGCAAAAAAGATAACATTTTAAACTAAGTGAGGTTTAATGTTCATGAATGTGAGTGAGGTAGAACCCGAAACGACCACTGAGGAAAAGCGTTCATCTTGTTCAATTTCGGTATCTATAAATTTCAAAAACTTTATACCAATCGACCCTTTAACAGTGACACAGATTTGCGTGAATATTTTAACTAAGTATGAAAGCAGAGGGAGTGTAGAATGGAGTGAGATAATTGGTTGCGTTGACTAAGATCAGCTGTTTGTTAGCCAGGACCATTCTTTAAAAGCTTGATGACCAAGGAGGCTTCAATATACCATCAAACGACTACTGACCTCACAGCTTTGAACTGGCAATCCTCTGATAACTAGGAAAGCTCACTCAGCTATCTTGCCTAATAAAGTTTGTCCGTGGAGTTGTAAGATTTACACCTGCTTGACTTACATTTTGTTTGCTCTAGCATGTCAAGATTTGTCAGTGTAGTTACAACATTTACATCTACTACCACTTACAGTATTGCTTTGCTTTAACATATTCTATTGAGAGTTTTTCACTGGAGTCGCAATATTAAAGCCTACTCTTAAACTTAAGACTAAAATCTTTAACAGCATTTCATTTATATTAAAGATTAAACTTAAATGTGATGGCTAAAGAGTTTCAGGCTGTAGTGTTCAATGTACAAAAGGTGACCAAAGAATGAGGAAACCCCTTAACCTGAGCTAAGACTGGCTCTAGTAAATGAGCCTTCGACAATAGTGAACACCAAAAGCCACATTGCGGAAAGAGAGCGTCTTGCAAAGGTAGTCGGAATTGCTGCAAAACCTTGAGCGTCATGCAGCATGTCAATTCAATACCTTTCAAACAGTCCCTAATGGCACTTAGCTTGACTACTGCTTAGTCTGGGATTAGTGAAAATATTCAATTGGATATTTTAAAGCTAATTCCAAGTGGAGAGGGTTGTGACCAGTGTTTTCACAAAACCAGAATAATTCTGCTAATCAGGTCAAGAAAATCCGGTTTTATCCAACTTTAATATAGTTAAAAATCCTATTTTATCCACAAGAATTGTTCTGTTCAATCCCGCATGATCTTGACGTACTAATTTTAATTAGCTCATTAAACCTTTCAATATTATTGTGCCATAGTAATTTTATCAAGTAGGATTCATTTTTTTGGAAAGCAGAGTAAAAAAAGAAAATCAAATGTCAGAGCTATGGTTTTGATTAAAATCCTTCCTAGGCAGGAACGCTGATGGAATCAATGATTGCACAAGCTGTAATTTGACCGTCTTTTGCAGCTGGTTCTAAACCTACATAGCTTGAGCCTTCTAAAGGTTCACTGGGATGTATATTTGACTAGCTGTTTTGCCTGATATTCGCACAGGTAAACTTTTGAATAGTAAAATAAATACATCACCTGTGAAATAATGGTGTTAATATCATCGGATCATCATTGGATGATGAAAATAAACTATCAGTTAAATGACATACTTGTCGTAGCACTTTGAACCAACACATAACACTGCTTTAAACAGGTCTGCCCCAAATCATGTATTTTGGAAAGTGTCGTATTTGTTTAGTTTGTTTAACAAAATCAGGGTTATCACTGTTACAAAGGGTTTTCAAGACAGTTAGAGCCCTAGTGGCCGCCACCAGTTACTGGCAACTGCAGTTGATGGTACAGGCAACTGACAAGCCACTCCACCAATAGCCACCGTACAACTAGTTGATAAAATGCTGATGAGCAAAAACATACAATTGATTTTGTGCAGTGACACATGAAATTATACTTAAAAATGAGGAATACAACTAATTTTATCAATTATCAATTATTTAAGATGGGGACGCCACTATGTGCGTATTTTAACCCAAATATGAGTGAAGGATGAGTGTAGGATGAGTGGTGCGATCTTGTAGTCTTGTTAGTAACTAAGGCCTACATGTTCCTTAGACACAGCTGTTAATTTATAGCCCATACAGCTAATGGCAACTAAGGGACCTACAGTTTAGAGTGGAATCCGAACCACATTTTTTCCTTGGTAATTAACGAATTGGTCTAATTATCAGGATAGTACTGCGGATAGTCGAGTACTCACTTGTGCGGACGTTAATCCACACCAGGGAGCATCGCATCCTTAGTGCATGCCTATAAATATCCACAATTCGTGACCTCCTAGTGGCTGGATTACAGGACGACGCCACCTGTCCCAGTAATGAATCAATAAACTTTGAAAGGAACTACCACGAGCTCCTACTGAGGAACTACCAAGGACCACTACTGAGGAGCTACAAAGATTTGTCATTTGTAGCTCATCTAAATACAAATTTCACTTATCATTACAATTAATCATAGATTTTGATATTTCAATTAACGTGGTAACTTTAATTTCTTAAAAAAAATGTCAAACGTAAAAACATATGATGTTAAAATACCCAATATTGGGCCCATCTAGCTATTTTGCTAATGGCGGTTTGTTGCCTCAAGTTAAAAGAGAAATTGAATGCTTCAGTTTCAAGTTGCAATTTATTTAGTTTGGCTACAACTGTAACTAGTATTTATCAGTTTTACTTGAACATAACTTGCTCTTTTAAACTCTAGATCCAATCTTTGATCGATTTAAAATAACTTTGGATTGCGCAAACTGCTCTATTTTAAATAATGTAACGATTGGGTGAAATGTGATAGCTTTATCTTAATTGATTCTTTATTTTAAACAATTACTGTAACGAATAAAGATACTAACTGATAAGGCTTTGCAATAAATTTGTACCACGTTATGGTTCTTAAGACAATAAATACTAGTATTTGATTGGAAATTTAACCTGGTGTTTTGTGCGTCTCATTTAAATTGGCACGTTATAATTGAACTCTGAAAATGCATAGAGCTGAACATTTACTTAAATTTGTTATTTGAAATATGTCTAAACAGGCCGGGTATGACAGTAGATCGAAAAAATGTCCAGAATGATAATATTTATGACTAGGCCGTAAATGAGTGAATTAATTTTTTTAAGGTACATTCAATAAATGATCAAAAATTATTTTTTACTTGTACTGCAAATTGTTTTGTTAAAGACAAACTAGTAGTATTTCTAAATTAATATTAGGTTTTTGAACACTTTGTGCTCACGCTTGTAAGCTTAGACCCGAACTGTTTTTAAAATTATAGTACTATAGTATACAATTTTTTTAAATGTAAAATTTCATCACAAGATATCCATAAACAACGTTAACTTTTCTCTAACAGAATAGCATGAGAATTTTAAACGAACAGATTCTTGAAATTTATTCTTTAACCTTTATTTGTACAGCATCAGTTCAAAATATACTAGATTATTTGTTTTTTAGAGTCTAAAATGGCTGTAATGAAAATTGGGTATTTTTTGGTTCTATAAATAAAAACTAAAAAAAAGCCAATTTGAAAATTTTAAAACTCCATAACACCACGCCCCCAAGACCCAATCTCACTGGTTCGGGAGCTCCTTCTAGTGTATCCAGCCCTACAGGTTCAAGCCTAGTTTGGTCAAGATTTAAATGAAATTTCTCAAGTTATCATGTTTACATACACACACATCATGGGCTATAAATATAAATTTTAAACAAGTGTTTTTGGCCTCTGGGGACATTAAAATTAAATAAACTGCATACGCTTTCTGACACATACTTTCTCCCATAAGCTCGTCAATAACCTTTATTATTATGGGTAAGCGGAGAGAGTAAATATGATAGTTTATAGTTAAAAATCACAAAAGTTGCAATAACTTTTGAACCGTAATTGTTACAGCAATGGGGTGTTGTAATATTTTTTTAGAATTGTAAGGACCATAACATATTAATTTTGTTCAAAACCAGCTTTTCTCCGAACATCCAATTTTTTTGTTATTCTATGGGAAAATAATATAAGCTACAATATCAAAAGCTTCTATTCACCCATGAAATAAAATATTTTAATCTTACTGTGATCTCTTTTTGTTACATTAATCTCAGCAAATAAAACTACAACATTTCTCAAGTTAAAATAAATACCCCCGCCACAGCAAATCTGCAGATCAAGCGAATTTCTGTTGGCATTATTTGATCTTCACTAAAAGATTTATTAAAAAAGGAAAAAGGGCAGATTTTTGCCCTTTTTAACAAAACAGTGGACTTAACGAGTAATTAGGTTATCTACTACAGGAAAGGTGATGAAGTGGGTTTTTAGTAAAATGTAAATTGATTTGTATAAAATAACTTTCTTTAATATTCCAATTATTTTTATAAGATCTACTTTAACATTTGTAAAAACAATTGATATGTAGGTGTATAAAAGAGCCATGATAGTGTATCATTAACGGTCACTAGAAGTGGAAACCGGATAACCAAGTTTTGTAATCAGAAGTTGATTTGCATACATTTACTCAACACTACTGATTATTAATGACTTTTATTACCAAGTTAATGACCCCTTCTTGTTGAAAAGAATAGGAGAGTCGGAATAGGTAAGTGATAAAGGAACTTTAAGGTAGATTTAAAGGTTATGCCTAGAAACAAGACAATGGAGAGGGAAAAATGTATTGTTTGTTGTTGTTTGTTTAAAGTCATCTTTATGATTACAACTCTGTATAATTTTTACAAGATAATACTTATAGTAGTACTAGTAGTACACATACTAGTAAACATGTTATAGGTATTTTAACATTTTAAAGAGGTGACTAGTAATAATTATGAATTAAGAAGCAATAATTTTGTCGAGAAATTATATACTAGCAGAGTACCCGTCCTTCGTACGGGGTTGGGATATAAGTATAAAATGCTTATTGCAGTTACACTCAAGCTTTGCGTTTGCAATGAGGGAGGATACAGTTTGATAAAATTTGCTTCTTTAAATCTACAGTATTCTATAGTCACATACCATAGCCATAATGATCTACCACTTCACCTAAGATAGAGAAAAAAATAGAGAAAAATTAATTATAAAAAATTCCCAAAATATCACAAATTATTAATGAAATTAAAAAAAAAAACAACTGT